ATTTAAGCAAGCCCCCTCAATTAAATGTTTTCCTTATTGTAAGAGTTGTCATGGTCATGGTGTCTCTTCACAGTAATAGAAACCCTAACTAACACAACCCCTAAGAAAACAAAAGCAGTCATTAAAAGTCTCCCTCCCAACCAAAAAAAGCCCAAGCCAGACAGTTTTAATGCAGAATTCTACCAGACTTTCAAAGAAGAGCTAATGCTAATACTCCTCAAATTATTCCATGTAAACAGAAGGAACACTGCCAAATTCATTTTATGAGGCCACAGTCACAGTGATACCTAAACCACACAAAGACCCAACAAAGAAAAATAATTACAGACCAATTTCCCTTGTGAACATAAAATACTTGCAAACTGGATCCGAGAACATATCAAAAATATCATCCACCATGACCAAGTAGGCTTCATCCCAGAGACACAGGGATGGTTCAACATACAAAAGAAAATCAGCCAATGTAATCCACCATATAAACAAATTGAAGGATTAAAAAAACCTCACATGATCATCTCATTAGATGCCAAAAAAGCTCTTGACAAAATCCAACACCCCTTCATGATAAGTCTTGGAGACATTAGGGATACAATGAACATACCTAAACTTAATAAAGGTAACGTACAGCAAACCCATAGTCAACATCAATTTCAATGGAGAGAAACTCAAAGTAATTCCACTAAAAAAGGAACAAGACAAGGCTGTCCACTCTCTCCATATCTATTCAATGTAGTACTCGAAGTTCTAGCTAGAGCAGTAAGACAACTGAAGAAGACCAAGGGGACACAAACTGGAAAGAAGAAGTCAAAGTGTCATTACTTGCAGATGATATGATAGTCTACATAAGTGACCCAAAAATTCTACCCCTACAGCTGATAAACACCTTCAGCAAGTGCCTGAATACAAAATTAACTCAAAACAAAAACAAAACAGTAGCCCTCCTATATACAAATGATAAATGGGCTGAAAAAAAGTCAGAGAATCCCCAGGAAAGGCGTAAAGCTGCACAGAGAAACCCTGTCTCGAAAACCCAAAAAAAAAAGTCAGAGAATCAATGGCCTTCACGATAGCCACAAATACTATAATAAAATACCTTGGGGTAACTCTAACCAAGCAAGTCAAAGACTTGTATGACAAAACCTTCAAGTCTTTGAAGAAGGAAACTGTAGAAGATACCAGAAAATGGAAAGATCTCCCATGCTCAGGGGTAGGGAGGATTAACAAAGTATAAATGGCTATCCTACCAAAAGGAATCTACAGGTTCAACATAATCTCCACCAAATTCCAACATAATTCTTCACAGAACTTGAAAGGACAATACTTAACCTCATATGGAAAAACAAAAACCCAAGATAAGCCGGGCGGTGGTGGCGCACGCCTTTAATCCCAGCACTCGGGAGGCAGAGCCAGGCGGATCTCTGTGAGTTCGAGGCCAGCCTGGGCTACCAAGTGAGTTCCAGGAGAGGCGCAAAGCTACACAGAGAAACCCTGTCTCGAAAAACCAAAAAAAAAAAAAAAAAAAAAAAAAAAAAACCAAGATAGCTAAAACAATCCTGAACAATAGCAGAACCTCCAGAGGTATCACCATCCCTGATTTCAAGCTCTATTCAGAGCTGCATTAATAAAAAACCACATGGTATTGGCATAAAAATAGATACGTTGTTCAATGGAATTGAAAAACAGCCCAGATATAAATCCACACACCTATGGCACCTGATTTTTGACAAAGAAGCCAGAAATACACAATGGGAAAAAATAGTACCTTCAACAAATGGTGCTGGTCTAACCAGATGTCTCCATGTAGAAGAATGCAAATAGATCCCTAATTATCACCCTGCACAAAACTCAAGTCCAAGCTGGGAGGATCTCTGTGAAGTTCAAGGCCGGCCTGGTCTACAGAGCGAGATTCAGGACAGGCAGATCAAAGACCTCAATGTAAGATCAGATACAGTGAACCTAATAGAAGAGAAAGCGGGGAATAACCTTGAACACATTGGCACAGGAGACAACTTCCTAAACAGAACACCGACAGCACAGGTACTAAGAACAACAATTAATAAATAGAACTTCATGAAACTGAAAAGCTTTGGTAAGTCAAAGGACACTGTCGACAGGACAAAGACGCAGCCTACAGAATGGGAAAAGATTTTCACCAACTCCGTATCTGATAGAGTATACCAAATATAAAAGAACTCAAGAAACTATAGACTAGAGTATACCAAATATAAAAGAACTCAAGAAACTATAGACATCAATAGACCAAATAATCCCATTAAAAATGGAGTACAGACCTAAACAGAAAATTCTTAATAAAGGAAACTCAAATGGCTGAGAAACATTTAAAGAAACGTTCAACATTCTTAGCCCCTAGAAAAATGCAAATCAAAACTATTTTGAGATTTCATCTTATACCTGTCAGAATGGCTGAGATCAAAGCCAGAAGCGACAGCTCATGCTAGTGATGATGTAGAGCAAGGAGGACACACCTGCATTGCTGGTGGCAGTGCAAATGTACAGCCACTATGGAAATCAATACGGTGGTTCCTCAGAAAATTGGGAATTGATCTACCTCAAGATCCAGCTATACCACATACCAAAACTACATGCCATCTTACCACAAAGACCCTTGCTCAACTATGTTCATTAAAGCTTTATTCATAACAGCCAGAAACTGGAAAAACCTAGATGTCCCTCAGCTGAAGAATGGATGAAGAAAATGTGGTACATTTACACAATGGACCCAGTGACTTAAAAAAAAAAAAGAAAAGAAAAGAAAAAGAAAAAACCATGAAATTCACAGGCAAATGGATGCAATTAGGAAAAAAAAAAATCATCCTGAGTGAAGTAACTCAGATCCAAAAAGACAAACATGGTATGTACTCACTTATAAGTGGCTATTAGCTAGCTGTTAAATAAATGATAACCATGCTACAATCCACAGACCCAGAAATGCTAAGTAACAAGGAGGGCTTTGGGGGTTGTGCGTGGATCTCCCAGGGAAGGAAAAATAGAATAAATTTTTCAGGTAGACTGGGGGAGTGGGCAGGAATGGAAATAAAAAGGATCAGGTAGGGGGGTACAGGGAGGAAGTATGGTAGAAAAAGCTGGAATTGGGAGGGGCATACGGGGGATGATGTGGAAATCTAGTGCAGTGTCAACTCCCCGGAACCTATGAGGGTGACCCTAGTGAGAACTCTTAGTAATAAGGGATACAGAACTTGAACTAAGCATCTTCTGTAACCAGGCAAGGCACCCAATGGTGGGACTGTGGCACCAACCCAGCCACAAAACCTTCAGCCTACAATTTGTCCTGCCTGCAAGAAGTGCTGGGGCAATGGGGGCACAGAACTTGTGGAGTGGCCAACCAATGACTGGTTTAATTTGAGGCCCATGCCACCAGAGGGACCCCATGACCAACACTGCCAGGACCTAGAAGCTGGATAGTCCAAAGACCTAGGATAAACCAAACATGACAGACCACCTCCCCACCCTGCTACAATATTCCTAATGATGTTCTGCTATACCCATAGATGGGTGCCCTGTCCAGTTGTCATAAGAAAGGCTTCCTCCAGCAGCTGATGGGCACAGATGCAGAGACCCATAGCCAAACAATAGGCAGACAGGGAGTCCAGGTTGGAGGTCTCCATCAGGTCCCTCTCCTCAGAGTTTGGTGAACCCCATGGAAGAAAGGGAGGAGGAAGTATGGGAGCCGGAGGGGCTCAAGATACCATGGGGGCTACAGAGACTGAAGTAGCAATCTCAGAGCCTGCATGGGTCTGTGCTAGGTCCTCTGCATATATATTATGGTTACTGGCTTGGTGTTTTGGGGACTCCTGACAGTGGAAGTGGGGATGTCTCCGACTCTTCTGCCTGCCCTTGGGGCAGTTTTCCTCCTGCTGGGTTGCCTCACCCAGCCTCGATGTGAGGGTTTGTGTCTGGTCTTACTGCAACTTGTTATGCAGTGCTTGGCTCTGATGTCCCTGGGAGGCCAGCTCGTTTCTGCAGGGAGATGGGGGCAGGGGTGGATCTGGAGGAGAGGGGAGATGGGTTGGGGGAAGGGTTACAGGGAGGGAAAGCTGTGGTTGGGATGTATTGTATGAGAAAAGAATAAATAAAAATCTTTAAAAAGGCTCTACTTACAACATCAGTTAAAACAGGTTCTAAGGGTGGATTTCAAAGAGGAGCTGCTGTGGGAATCAATAGACAACCATGATGAACGGAGGCCAGGCCAGGCGAGGCTGCAGCAGGACTGAGGTGTTTGGGGCTTTTTGGTTTTTTTGTTTTTGGAGACAGGGTTTCTCTGTTTAGCCCTTGCCAACCTCGAACTCAGTCTGTACACCAGCTGGCCTCAAACTCAGAGATTTGCCTAAACTGAGTTGTTTTTAAGGAAGGAGGAAGGATGGTCCAGAAACTACAGATATGAAAAGGAAGATACTCCTTCCTAGACCCAACAGCACAAAGTGTGTGTGTGTGTGTGTGTGTGTGTGTGTGTGTTTTCTGTATCATACAGGAATTTCACTGACAAACCACAAGATAGTCATGGTGTTTAGGAGATGCTAACATATAAAGATGTACAGAATGCATCTAAATAACTATCCAATAATGCATCTGAATAATCTCACATCACTACGTACAACCATTCCATCTCCCTGAACTGTACTAGGTAAATCTACATACATAAGATTATCACTGGATTACATCTGAGACAGTAAAATTATGAGGAACTTGAAACATTTCTGTAATGTTAAATTACTGGCCTTAATTATCAGTAACATTTTTTTATATACACCAGAGCTTCAAGGCTACTAACAACACAGTACAGTGACAATGTGACAGGAGATGACAGGCCCAGTTAGTGAACACTGCAAAGAAACCACAACTAAAGCCACTTAATGACCAGGAGCAGGCACTGAGCAAGTTAATAACAGTACAAACATTTCTAAGGCATGTCACAAAGTTAATCACTTTTCTTGAATTCAGTATATCTTAGGCATCCTCACCTAACTTCCACAAGGTCATTTGGTTTATAGCTTGGATGAAGGAAAAACCAAACTTTCTTGACAAAGTGATTAATGCTGGGTTCCCGACGGGACCCTCGGACATACACCATCCACTTATGAGTTGACTGGTCATTTTCTTCCCGCTTATCTGGAGGTATGTACCTGGAGAAGAAATAGATAGATCAATGTCTTCCTCCAAAAGTTTCATCATTTGTGCTGGTGAGATGACTCAGTGGATGAAGGCACTTGCCATGCCACAAAATTCTGACAATCTGAATTTGATCTCAAGATCCCTTAAAAAGGAGTCCTGACCTCCACACATGTGCCATGGTGTGCAAGTTCATACATATACAAATGATGCACATATACACACAACAACAATAATAGTAATAAACTAAAAACAACCTAAAATTGCTCAGCAGTTAAGATCACTGGCTGCTCTTCCAGAGGATCCATGTTTGAATCCCAGTACCCACAGCATGGCTCACAGCTGTCTGTTCTGAGGCCTCTTCTGAGCTCCGTAGGACCAGGCACACATGCGGTGCACGTACATACGTGAAGGCAAAATACACATACACATAAAAAAAAATCCTAACAACTACTACTAATGAGGTCCTGCTTAAAACAAGCTATTTAAAATCCCAGCAGTAATAAAGGGCTTAGAAAAAGCCCTCCCCAGACCCCATGCCTACTTAATTCCCTTAAAGTTTGTTTTCTGATTATCAATCCCAAATTAAAAGAGATCAATCACATTTTTCCCCCAAGACAGGGTTTCTCCATGTAACAGCTCTGGCAGTCTGGCTGTTCTGGAACCCGCTCTGCAGACCAGACTGGCCTCGAACTCACAGAGATCCACCTGCCTTTGCCTCCCGAGTGCTGGGATTAAAGGTGTGTGCCACCACTGCCCAGCCACACTTGTTTTCTTATCAAGTGGTTACCTGAGGTAGAAATAAACTGGCATTTAGGGAGCTTCAGGCTTCCAGTCAGGTTTCAGGTAGGCAGCGTGGGACCCTCCTTGCCACTGTCTTCTCCCTGAACACCCCAACTATCCATCCCCGACGTGACTATGGCACAGGAAGCCCCCTTCTCCTTGGGGGGCTTTGCCTCTTCGCCACTGAACGGGGCACCCCTCTTAGACTCTGGTGACAAACCTGGACATCGCCCCTGACATCTAGACCCCCGATCATCTTTAGTGACACCAGGGACAAGTGTCACACCTTCACAGGGGCTCAGTCCAGTCTTGGCACTCTGCTCTTCCATGAGGGAAGCACGAGTTTCTGAATTCCATGAGCCTGGTTGAGATTTCACCGGAATATCTGTAGATCAGCATTAATTTAGGGAGAGGCGGTATTTGCAGTACTGGGCCTCCTCATCTGTTACCTGACACACTGCTGTACTTCTTCTCATAAAGTGTAAAAGTTCTTCTTGAAGGGCTAGCATGTCTTTTGTTTGATTTACTAAGCACATTCTGATTGCTAATGTAAACACGGTTTTAAATGTTTTCTATCACATAAGAACAACTGTCATATAAGTACTGACTACTGTGTAATGATACCATAGTCGATAACCTTGCTAAACTTTGATTAATCTTAAAATTAAATAATCAAAAATTTGGCTTTAGAGCCTGAAAGATAGCTTGGCAGGTACAGCACCTTGACATTTAAGCTTGGTGACTGGAGCTCAATCCCAGGAGTCCATGTAAATGTGGAAAGAGAATAATTCCACAAGGTGTCCACACACAGTCTTAAAAAAGGTTTCTCCAAGCTGGGCAGTGGTGGCACACACCTTTGATCCCAGTACTGCAGAGGCCGAGGCAGGGGGATCTCTGAGTTCGATGCCAGCCTGATCTACAGAGTGAGTTCTAGGATAGCCAGGGCTACAAAGAGAAACCTTGTCTGGAAAAACAAAAACAAACAAACAACAACAAAGATTTAAAAACGTTTCCCCAAACTTATACACTTGACAATAAATATTTATGCAATAGATCATATCAGAAATTTTTGCAAAGTATAATTTTACTCTAAATCCAAGACTGGTAGACACATGAAGATAAAGTCTCATTAGGAACATGATTTTCTTCTGAAATGACTGAGTTTGGGAAAACTGTTCCTCGAGGCCTCTTCCTACTGTGACACCAGGGCAAGGAAGTATTTCTGGCAAACAGGCTTCGGCAGAAGCTGCCACTTCCCTCAGTGTATGGCTGGCTTTGTTCAGGCCGAGGAATGCTGAGCCTTCCCCATGACATTCCCACCGAGACAGATGGGAGCGAGTGCACCCGCTCCTGCCCCTCATCAGCCCCTGGACAAATCCGAGATCACTATGGGGTTGCTAGGCAGTCTCTCAGGCTTCCGCGGTCTGAGTAAGGAGGTTCATGTTTTCTGTTGAAAACTGGCTAACATGAACGAACTTACACCTTCAAATGCTCTCTCCAGAATACGGTTCCAGCACGAGGACCCAGCACAGAGGATTCAAACATCCAGTTCGTTTTCACAAATAGGTCAGGTCAAGGAAGACCCAGAAATCTCTGGGGACACTACTACCATGACAGACAAGTTACAGTTTTTGTCAATGGAGGAGTGGTAGATTGAGAAGGAGCTGGCAGTCCTTGAACTGGCTGGATGTTCAGCACTGTCACACTGCATCCTAACCTTTACACACAAAGTGGACCTTGTGAGATGTGGTGACACACTGCTCTGCAGTGAGATGTGGTGACCCTGCTCTGCAGTCCTCCCTGCCATGAGAGAACACAGACAAACCAGTGGCACCACGGAAGGAGGGGTGCCAAGGGCAGGCTCCTCTAAGATCAAACCTAGGCAGTTTCTGGAAACTCCACGTCCAAATCCAAGAAATATATGTAAGGTTAAAAGTTAAACTGAGGGGGCTGGAGAGATGCTCTTCCAGAGGTCCTGGGTTCAATTCCCAGCACCCACATGGCAGCTCACAACTGTCTGGAATTCCAGTTCCAGGGGTCTGACAACCTCACAGACACACATGAAGGCAAATAAACAAATAGATCATTAAAAAAAAAAGTCAGGGGCTGGAGAGATGGCTCAGAGGTTAAGAGCACCAGCTGCTGTTCCAGAGGCCCTGAGTTCAATTCCCAGCACACCATCTAGGATGAGATCTGGTGCCCTCTTCTGGGCATGTAGGCATACATGCCGGAACACTGCATACATAATAAATAAAGAAAGAAAAAAAAAAAGTAAAACCGAGCACATACAAGAACATTTCAGAACATTCTACTTCCATTTGCTGACCGAGCCACTCCCTCGCTCTCTGGGGACACATGTGCCAGGGAGTGCACATGGAGGTCAGAGATGACCTCTGTCTACTCAGCTCTCTCAGTTGACTTTTATGTGTGTTCCAGGGTGGAGTTCAGGTCACCAGTCCTGCGTGGCAAGTGCTTCTACCCACTGAACCACCCTGTCAGCCTCCAAAGCAAGCGCCTCTTCCTTTTTTAAAGGATGTTTTTAAAGCCGTGCATGGTGGTACACGCCTTTAATCCCAGCCCCGGGGAGGCTGAGGGGGGTGATCTCTGTGAGCTCCAGGCCAGACAAGGCTGCACAGTGAGACCCTGTCTCAAAACAAAACAAAAAAAAAAAACCAAACCACACACACACTAAAATTTTCTACATTTTAGAAATTAAAACAAAAACTGACTTTAGAAGTATTTATGTTGAGCTGGAGAGATAGCTCAGCAGTTCGGAGCACTTTTTCTGGTCTCCAGAGGACCCAGGTTTGAATCTTGTATCCACAAATCTGTAACTCCAAGATCCGACACCCTCACAGACACACATGCAGGCAAAACACCACTGCACATAAACTAAAAATAAGTAATTATCTTTTACAAAGTATGTATGTCAAAGTATTCATCAGACAGTTGAAAATGAGACCTCTTCTACCTAAAGATAAACCCCAGGGACTTTTACTATTTACAATTCAAATCTCCCTGGCTCACCTTTCAGAGTCACTAAAAATCTTAATATTGTTTTTCTGTTTGTTTGCTTGTTTAGTTCTGAGATGGGGGGTCTCACTATGTAGCCCAAGCTAGCCTTGAACTCACAGAGGGCCTGAGCGTTAGAATTTGAAAGGAAAAAAAAAAATCAAATCACAAAACGCTATCACACTTGAATCATTCCATCTTTAAATTTTATGTGTATGGCTGCTCTGACTGCATGTCTGTCTGTGCATTACATGTGTGCATCACCTACAGAGGAAAGAAGAGGATGCTGTATCCCCTAGAACTAGTTAGTTACAAATAGCTGTGAGTGGTCACATGGGGACTGGGCATTGAACCCAAGTCCTCTGGAAGAGCATCCAGTGTTCTTAACCATTGAGCCATCTCTTTAGCCTCCTAAATCACTCCATTTCACAAAAGTAAATGGGTTTTCAGAAAAAAGAATTTGGTTTCAGTTTTGGTGGGGACAATGACAGATAAGTATGAAACGTTGAGATTATGAGATGGGGGAAACATGTCTGAAAGCTAGAGTAGAAGGCAGTGATGAAACCTTCCTACCTCACTGGCTCTCAAACAACAGCAGTGCACACCTTTCCCCGCAGCATTCTGGAGTCAGACACAAGCAGATCCCTAGAGTTCTAGACTAGTCTTTTCTATACATGAGTTCTGGGCTAGTGACGCCCTTTACACAAGGAAAGCCAAAGAAAATATAAAAACAAAACCAAACAAATACCTAAATAATACCTTCACAAATTTCACAAGAAAGTGTAAGAAGCAACTGGGCATGGTGGTATGTGTTTGAACATGAGCTACGCAGGAAGCAGAGGCAGGATGACCGTGAGCTTGAGGCCAGCTTGGCAAAACAGCGAGACACTGGCTCAAAAATAAATAAGCAGGGGATGAGAGATAGCTCACGGTTAAAAGCACAGGCTGCCTTTCCAGAGAACCTAGGGTGGTTCCCAGCACCCACATGGCAGCTCACAACTCTCTGTGACTCTAGTCTTGGGGATCTGACACCTTCTTCTGGCCTTAGCAGGAACCAGGCATTCATGTGGAACACATACACACAGGCAACTCAAATACATAAAGTAAAAATAAATAAGTAAAACTAAGTGTAAAAAGGATACTACCCTGTTAACACCTATTTATCACCAGGGATAGTCACGGATATGGTCCAAGACAGAGTATCACTAGATCAGGGAAACTGTAAGATGGAAATTTCTCAGTTCTATTTCTGATTTTGCTAACTAAAGTGCAAGATTACCCTAAGAATGCCTCTAGACCACCATTTACTTTTAAAACAAGAGCCTGGAAGAATTCCTGAGTCTTACTCCCACTATAACACCACAGTAAAGAAGTAGTGAGGGTGAAGTATTCATGTTTACGTGAGTCACTGACAGGGATATTTTGCGGATACTCACTTGGACACGTTGCCTACTACTATGGTTTTCTTTACAAAAAGCCGAGAAGTCTCATCTCCTGTGAGGTCGGCGTTCCGTAGTTCCCTTTTGTGGGAGCCACTAACACTCGAAGTGTCCTGAAAGAAATGACAATCATCATTTGTATCCATTTACGCAACATTCAAGAGGATAATGCTGTAACGAAGGCATGAATAAAGTAGCTCAGAATGTCTTGTCTTTTAGAAAACAGGTCTTACTGGGAATATGGGCATCAGCCACCACACCTGGAAGAGCAGACGTTTCAGATTTTTGTTTGTTAAATTTATGTTTTAGTTTATGAATGTTTTTGCTGGCATGTGTGTTTATTCACCGTGTGTGTGCCTGGTGCCCATGGAGGCCACAAGAGGGTGCAGGATCCCTGGTAACAAGCGTTATGATGGCTGTGAGCTGCCATGTTGAGGCTGGAACCAAACTCAGGTCAGTGCTCTAAACCACTCAGTCATCTCTCTAGTCTGTTTTTCTTTTTCTTAGAAAAGAATTTAGTGAGTCTAGGGATGTAGCTCAGTTGGTAGAATGCTGCTCTGGCTTGTACCAAGCCTTGGGTTCTGTCTCCAGCACTTCAAAGGTAAAGGGAGGAGAGAGAATACTGGACAAACACAAGGAAATCCACACGTTAAGAGTTCTGATTATAAGGTGTCAAACTGGGTTAATTTAGAAAAGGCCTTTCTGTTTTACTTTCTTCAATGGCGGACAAACGAATTTACAATAAAAACCACTTTTATGCAAAATAAACGAAATACTGATGACTGAATATACAGAAAACAACTGAACATTCCCTCTATTACAGAAGCGGTGGCTGGAAAATCGCTGATCTGACTTAATAGTGACTCTACACATAAATAGAAACACCAAATAACAGAGCGGCTTCAATCTAGGCAGTCATACTATCATAGCTGGGCACAGTGGCACGCACGCCTGTGATTCCAGCACTCGGAGGGAGAGGCAGGGGGATCACTACAAGTTCCAGACCAGCCTGGTCTACAGAATCAGTGCCTGGCCAGCCAGGGCCTCCCAGCAAATCTCCGTCAAGAAAAGAGCTGTGTATTTTGTTTTCTGTATGTCAAACTGCACCAGCCACCACTTAGACCACCATCGATCATTGAATAGGGAACTGCAACCCTTAAGGGTTCTTTTCCATCTCTAAGAAGGACCTCCATAGCTCTGCTGCACTCTGGAGCGCTATGTTCTAAAGTCAGAATGTCAAAACACACACACACAAACACACACACTCAACACACACACACACACACACACACACACACACACACACACACACACACACACACACACCAGAATGACAACCACATAAACTCAGCTGGGTATGATAGTTCACACCTATAACCCAGCATTCACAAGGCCAAGGAAGGAGGGTTCTGTTAGTTTGAGACCAGCCTGGCTATAGTGCAAGATGCCAAAAAAAAGAACTCAGTTTCTTAGTCAACCCTATACAATGATTTGATCTTGTAACATCACTACTTGGGAGCTGAGGCAAAAGATGCCTCAAGTTTTAGGCCAGCCTGTCCCAGGCCAGGCTAGAGACAAAGACCCCATCTCAAAGGACCAAAGATTCATTTCTCTGCTGTAAAAAAAAAAAAAAAAATCAAACAACTAATGTCCTAGAGTCCCCAGAAAAGAATGAGAAATATGCCACACCTAGTAAACAGTAGGTCCTTTCTCCCCTGGAGCCCAGCCCACTCCCATCCAGTGCTATACCCTTCCTGTGTTGCGGCTGGATCGCTGCTCCACCGTGCTTGAGAGTCTTTCCTCCATATCCATGTTGCTGTTATTGTCTTTGTCAGACAGGAAGTCATTTTGTTGAGACAGTGAGTCACTTTCAGAATGATTGGCAGATGGTGTTTCTGATCTCTGATTGGTAGGAGATGACGACCTAGAAGGTGATTCCAAAAATTTCTTGATAGCAGGGTGGTTAAAAGCCATCGTATCAAATGTCTTCAATCCCTAGAAAAATGAAAGAAGCAAACTTAATCAAATCCATCAAAACTGGTGAAAAATTGAACTCCTGAAAACTCCAAGTTACGTTTAAGATCATGTTAACAAGTCTTCAAAAATCTCTCCGAATCCAGGCTGGAGAGATGGCTCAGTCATTAAAGACTAGGCTCACACCAAAAAAGAAAAGAAAAGAAAAGAAAGGAAAAGAAAAGGAAAGGAAAGAAAAGAAGAAAGAAAGAAAGAAAGAAATTTTAAAGAAATTCTCTCCATATCATATTTTTTTTTTTCCGAGACAGGGTTTCTCTGTGTATTTTTGGTGCCTGTCCTGGATCTCGCTCTGTAGACCAGGCTGGCTTTGAACTCACAGAGATCCACCTGGCTCTGCCTCCTGAGTGCTGGGATTGAAGGCGTGTGTTGCCCCATATCCATAAATTCTTAAAACTAGCCTGTATCAACAAAACAAAAACTAGAGCAACAAATAATTATACAAAAATTCTACCACCAAAAGCCAACAATGAGCCAGGTGTGGTGGTGGCACATACCTGTGAAAACATCACTCAGGGGGCTGAGGCAGGAAAATCTGGACCACACTGGGCTACATGACAAGGAAACATTTGAAAGAGTTAAATAAGGTAGCTCGGATGGGAGTCTAGCTGAGAGTCTAGCATGCTCGAAGCCGGCACCACATAAATGCAGCATGGAAGAGCATGCCTGCAATCCTGGCATCCAGGAGGTGGAAGCAAGAAGCTCAGGAGTTCAAGATATGTGCCACCATCCCCAGCAAGATTTAATTTAAAAAGTACAAGCAGGGCGGTGGTGTCGTATGTCTTTAGTCACAGTGCTTGGGAGGCAAAGGCAGGAAGATTTCTGTGAGTTCAAGGCCAGCCTATTCTACAGAGTGAGTTCCCAGGACTGCCAGGGCTGTTAAACAGAGAAACCCTGTCTTAAAAAATGAAAAAAGAAATAATAATAAAAACAGAAAAATTTTATAAAATAAAAAGTACACAGAGCCAGGCCTTGTGGTTATATCCACAATCCCAAGACCTTTGGAATCTAAGTAGGGGAGAACATCTCCTTGAGTTCAAGGTCAGCCTCGTTTATTGAATGAGACTCTAGCTCAAAACAAAAATGAAAGTGTACAATATAAAAAATGACACCCACACAGGAGTTTAAAAAAACAACACACACACAACAGTGTTAGAAGCTTTAAAATCAGCACCGTACAATGTTTTCTCTCAGGCTAGTATGGAGGCCTAAGTTCAGCTCTTTTTAAAATGGTATTACTGGGTGTTCTTCCAGCTCTCATGTAGACAGCTCCCAACTCTAGCTCCAAGGAAATCCATCAGAGGGATGCCTCTGGCCTCCATTGACACCTGAACTCATGTGTACACACCCAGACACAAGCACACACAATTTATAAAATAAATCTCTTAAAAACAAAACAAAACAAACAACAACAAAAATCACCTCTATTATTGGCTGGGCATGGTGGCCCTACCTATAATCCCAGTACTTGGGAAGAAGAGGCAGGAGGATTGTAATTTCTAAGCCAGTATGAGCTATATAGCAAGATTTCAATTCAAGACACATACACAGAGCTACATAGTTATCAATCAAAAAAAAAAAACAAAAAACAAAAAAAACTGATCTGGTGTGGACACTAATGTTTTAAAATAAGAAATAGAGCTGATTAATTCAGTAACAGGGCTTTTCAGAGCTGTAAATGTGTGCTCCAAATTTAAGATAATTAAATGGCTAGCTAAAAAGTCCTTGAATGCTTGGTGTTTTTTTTTTTTTAATTTTTAGCCCAGGCTGGCCTCGAACTCGTGATCCTCCTGCCTCTGCCTCCTTCAGCAAATCCTACCGGAGTGCGCCACCATAACCAGTTTTTAAATTTTTAAAGATTTATTTATTTTATTTGTATGAGTGTTTTGCCTATGTACACACATGTGTACCATGTGAACGCCTGGTAGCTTCAGGGGACAAAAGAGGGTGCTGGATGCCCTAAAAGTGATGTTATTGACTTGCAAGCCACTGTGTAGATGCTAGGAACTGAACCCAATAGAAACCAACTGAACCATCTCTCCAGCCCAGCCCTTAGTAAATCTTAATCAGAACATCAGGAGATAAAATCTGTACATTTCTAGACTATCAAACACCAGATTCTCACTGCTAATGGTAAATCAACAAAAAACTAACCAGTTTTTCAAGCCGAGCAGCTATCATAGTAAGCCAATACTAAGTTATTTAATCCACAACATCAGAATTTTTGCTGGACCGGATAGTACAACTTCCACAAATTCATATCCACCCAGACTCTGTGGCTTTACTCAGAAATAGCCTGAGGGGCTGTGGGTATTGCTGAATTGCAGATTCCTATCATATGTGAGACCCTGGGGTCAGTCACAGGCTAACGCATGCTCAGAGAAGAGGAGGGTCAAAAAGGGTCTTTGTGGATGTAGATCAACTTAAAACAAGTCACACCAGACTGAAGCCAACCCCAACCCAGGACTAATATCCTTAAAGGAACCATAGACAGAGAAAACTCCAGGGAGACACCTAAGGGATAATGCTTTGCTTGCCCTGCCCCCTTCCCCATAGGGTTTCTCTGTGTAGCTCTGGCTGTCCTGAAACTCACTCTGTAGACCAGGTTAGCCTCGAACTCAGCTGTCTCCTGAGTGCTAGGATTAAAGGCATGTGACACTACTGTCCAGCTTATTTGGACATTTTTTATCTTACTGATCTTTTGCTTATACATTATGATCTCTAATTTTGTGTGTGTATGGGTAGTGTGTGAGTGTGTGAGTGTGTGTGTGTGTGTGTGTGTGTGTGTGTGTGTGTGTGTGTGTGTGTGTTTTTCACTGAGCTTAATACACAGCTGCCAGGAAAAAAATGTTTTATAGTGAGCATTGTAATGTTATGATGTCTAGAACTTACTTTTCAATGTTTTAGAAGAAAACAATATAATTTTAAATTGATGAATCTACATGGTATGCAAACATATTTATTTATATTTTTCTTATACTGAAAAACTATTCATTATAAAGTAGCATTTGGGCCAGGCGTTGGTGGAACATGTCTTTAATCCCGGCACTCCAGAGACAGAGGCAGCCGAATCTCTGAATTTGAGGCCAGTCTTTTCTACAGAGCAAGTTCCAAGACAGTCAGCGGTACACAGAGAAACCCTGTCTGGAAAAACAAATGAAAAGAACAAAGAGAAGTGGGATTTGGGAAGCATGCTGAGTAAGGCAAAGAGGAAGAGCTAGGGAGAGCTGCAGGGAGGTCTCCTAGGCAGCGAGGTCTGTCTCCCACCCGGATCTGAATAGCCTAGTATAACACTAGCAACCAGCAGGGACAGGACAGGACCACTGTTAACACAATGCCGATGATCTACGTTCCTCGGAAAGGCGGGCAGGCTCACTCAATTCCAAAAGTCAAGGTAAGAAATGTCTCAATGGTAGGGATCCAAACTGGCCTGACGTCCCCCCCCCCCCCCCAGACAAGGAAAATGGAGGCTTAGAACAGACTGGAGTGTGAGGAACACTTACCTCAGAAACCTTCAGGAGACCAGCAGAAGCGTAATAGTTTGCTACAATGCAGGCGCGGAGCTTGTCCATCATCCTTCGGGCTTCAATCAGTCGCTAAAAACAAGTGAGAGTTTAAACAGAAAAGTAACAACTTAAAATCCACAAAATAAAGGCAAACAACTGAAGCAGGAACCCAGCGACTCGAATCCCATCAATAAATAACTACTTTCTCCTAACTAAACTGGCAAAGGTAAAGGCTGGAGATGCAGCTCAGTGACTGAGTGCTGATGTGTATATTCAAAGCCCTGGAGTCTCTGCTTCTATCCCAGAGCACAATGGGGATGGGAACAGTGTGTGTGTGCTTCCCTAATCAGTAACGTCTTAAAAAATGACAAACAAAAACAGTGACACACATGGTGTGTGTGTGTGTGCACTTACTAACATATTCATTAAGAATAAAATACTGAGAACACTATCAAAAAGAATTATCTCTAGCCGGGCGGTGGTGGCGCACGCCTTTAATCCCAGCACTCGGGAGGCAGAGCCAGGCGGATCTCTGTGAGTTCGAGGCCAGCCTGGGCTACCAAGTGAGTTCCAGGAAAAGGCGCAAAGCTACACAGAGAAACCCTGTCTCGAAAAAACCAAAAAAAAAAAAAAAAAAAAAAAAAAAAAAAAAAAAAAAAAAAAAGAATTATCTCGGAGGCAGAGCCAGGCGGATCTTTGTGAGTTCGAGGCCAGCCTGGGCTACCAAGTGAGTTCCAGGAAAAGGCGCAAAGCTACACAGAGAAACCCTGTCTCGAAAAACCAAAAAAAAAAAAAAAAAAAAAGAATTATCTCAGGGATGGAAGTTCAAGTAGAACTTCTTATCTTTTATCCAATCTCTTTTTTTTTTTTTTTTTTTTTTTTTTTTTTTTTTTTGAGAAAAAGACTCATGTACCCCAGGCTGGCTTCAAGCTCCCTATGCAGCTGAGGATGACCTTAAAGGTGTGGTCCTCCTGTCCCCTACCTCCCACATCCTGAAATTAGAGGTGTGTGCTCAGCCCTCAGCAGGGTAACTTTCTGTTTGTTTCGAGACAGGGTCTCAATATGCAGTCTTGGCTGTCCTAGAACTCAATATGGAGACCAAGTTGTCCTAGAACTCAGAGATCCATCTATCCCTGCCTCTAGAGTGCCAGGATTAAAGATGTGTGCCATCATGTCCAGCAATGGGAAAGTTTTTGAAACTTTATCAAATACTCTTTTCCCTCCATAAATTCAGTTTTTTCAATTTATCATAATTATACCTGGTCAATGACGTCGATCTCATGTTCCTTATTCTTCATTTCAAGAGCAAACTGCTCCTTAATAATAGTCTCAATTTTCTGCACAGCTGCATCTCGAGCTACACAAAGAACACAAGGATACCAAATTAATCAGTAGCTACCTTGATTTAAATCAGCAGTTGTAGAAACCCAAGGAACAGAAACTGCTTTCGGCTCATGGAACAGTATCTTTCGCAAACACACAGAAGTACACAGCTGTATAATCTGTTCTTAAATGGTTCTGAAAGAAAAATATGTTCCTTTTCATCTGCACGAAACTACGTAGGATGGGGAAGCAAGAGGCAAGCCAAAAACAAAATACCATGTAATAGGTCTTAAATAAAGTTAATAAAAAGATACTTTTATTTGTTGTTCGTGTGTGTGTGTGTTTGTGTGTGTGTGTGTGTGTGTGCGCGCGCGCGCGCGAGTGCAGGTGTGTGCTCTTGCTCTCTCTCTCCCCCTACCCTCCCCCTTGCTCTGTGGAGGCCAGAAGAGGGTGTCCGATACTCTGGAGCTGGACTTATAGGAGTTGCCCAATATAAGTGCTTGGAACAGAACTCTACTCCTCTGGAAGAGCAGCAAATGCTCTTAACTGCTGAGCCACCTTTCCAGTCTCCAATATATATATACAATTTTTTATGTCGGATTAAGAGAATCATAAGTCGCCGGGCAGTGGTGGCGCACGCCTTTAATCCCAGCACTCGGGAGGCAGAGCCAGGTGGATCTCTGTGAGTTCGAGGCCAGCCTGGTCTCCAAAGCGAGTACCAGGAAAGGCGCAAAGCTACACAGAGAAACCCTGTCTCGAAAAACCAAAAAAAAAAAAAAAAAAAGAGAATCATGAGTCAAAATATTAATATAATTGACAATTTGCTTTTCAACAGATTACATAATAATACTTCTGAACCTTAAATCTCCTCTAGCAGCTACCAGCAGGGTTAGACTAGATCAGTGTTTTCCAAATTCCCATGATTCATGTATGACCCTCAAGATTGATATTACATCTAATTTGAAAATGTTTCCAAAAGTCCATGTGCTCAAAGCTTGGTCCCCAGCTGCCAGCGATATTGGGAGGTTTTAGCAAGTCTAGGTGTGGCCTAGTTGGAGGAAGGAAGTCCATGCCTTGAAGGATATATCTCATCCTAAGGCCCTGTGGCTCACTCTTTCTCTTTCAGCCTCTGAACTATTGTAGAGTGAACAGCCTCCACTACTACAAGGGTACCCTGCCTGACATCAGGCCCAGAGCAACGGCCGGCCACCCTTGGACAGAAACCTTTGCAAACAAGAGTCAAGAGTCCTCTCCTTTGACATTTGACAGCTAACACAGAAGTGAAACATTTAATGAGCACAATTAATACTTTAATATCTTACCTATTTAAGCAACAGTACCCATGAGATAACCTGATAAGGTCATTCTTATTTCTATATACATGAAAATATGAAGCTATAAAAACCTTCACCTATGTATCACCTACAATCACCTCATGTGGTTATGCCATATAAGAGACATCAAAAAACTTTGATTTTGTATTATTATTTTTAAATAATTATTTTATTTTTAATTATGTGTTTCTGTGTGTGAGTGCAGATGCCCATGGAGGCCAAAGAGGGCATCGACTTCCCTAAGCTGGAGTTATAGGCTGCTGTGAGCCAACTGACATGGATGCTGGGAACCAAACTTGGATCCTCTGTAGGAGCTTGGAGCTGGAATGATGGCTCAGCAGTTAAGAGCACTGACTACTTTTGCAGAGGACCCGAGCTTGATTCCTAGCACCCACATGGCAGCTAACAATCTCCATCTCCTGTAACTCCAGTTTCAGGGGCTCCAACACCCTCCTTTGGTCTGCACAGGCAACGCATGTGCACGGCACACAGACATACATGCAGGCACAACACCATATACATGAGATATTTTTTAAAAAGCCAAGAAATGAGTGGGGCAGTGGTGCACACCTTTTATCCCAGCACTGGGAAGGCAGAGTAATATCTCTGAGTTCAAGGCCATCCTGGTCTAGAGATTGAGTTCCAGGACAGCCAGGGCTACACAGAGAAACCCTGTCTCTAAATAAATACATAGATAAATAAATAAATATCTTAAGATCAGGTGCAGTGGTTCACAATTTTAATCACAACACTCAGGAGGTCAGGTCAATCTCTGTGAGTTCGAGGCCAGCCTGGTCTACAGAGTGAGTTCCAGGACAGCCAGAGCTACATAATAGAGACCTTGTCTCAAAAAACCCAAAGGGGGGAAATTAAAAAACAACAACAACAAAAAGACAGAGAGGTATGCACTCAACCACTAAGCCATCTCTCCAGATGCCGAAACTCTGATTTTAGGGCATATGCAACAACAGCTAAGACGTACAGCTTGCTTTCCCTCCAGACTACTTGACATGCTCCTGCGGGACCCCCTCCTTGTGTGTGCCATCTGGTGTACCGCAGAGCACTGGCTAGCCCTCACATATCCTTCAGCTTGTGTACGATGACATATTCACGTAGATCCTGTAAGTCCTGTGCATAGGCAAATGTCAGCGGGCTGAGTCTCAAAGCAACTCAATGTCTACCTGAACTCTCAATTGCTTTATGCCGCTTATTTGGAAGGGCCACAGACACATCCTCATAATCAGGGTCGGTTTCTTTAATGGTTCGCTTGATTCCAGACATGGTGACATTCAATTCTTCACTGTGAAGCAATAACAAACACATTAATAGTACTGTGAAATACTGGCATGTATAAATGTTTACGTACATACACAAAGGTAATAAACAAACACTACAAAATACTGGTACTTATAAGCCTGTGTACACGCAAGCTAAACATGCCTGGTCTGAAAAGCTTGAATCCAGAAATGTTTCAACCTTACGAATTTTAGATCTTCTAGTTAGGGATGCTCAATCAACTCTTGGTGTTTGTATATACTCAGCCAACATTAAATCTAACATTAAGTTTCTAAAAATATCAGCACAGTTATTTGTTAAAAAGCCCAGATTTCGCTTTCAAGAGAAAAATTCTTTAACAAAGTTGCACATTGATTCATTGCTCACAATTCTTTTTTTTCTTCCTTTGTTTTTTATTTTATTTTATTTTGAAATAGGGTCTATGTATCCTTAGCTGTCCTGAACCTCAATGTAGAACAGGCTGACCTTGAACTCAGGGAACTTCCTGCCTCTGCCACTGTCTCCCAAGTACTGGGATTAAAGACATATGCCACCATGACCCTGTTGACACTTTTCAAAAAGAGTCTACCTTTCACAGAAGTGTCATATATATAAATAATAAATCAAACTGTGATAAAAGCAGTGTTAAGCTTACAGTGCTGTGTAATTCACAAAGCTTTAAGCATATTTCAAAGCATGAACAAGTATAATTCAGGGCTCATCCCAATATGCAAACCCTACCTCTGATACTTCTACAGCGCTTGCTACGGCAGTTACTCAAATAATCCCTGATCTTTTAGTAGTATTTATAATAAACACAACTGTGGACTTATAAAACTACTGAACAACTTTGCAGTATGGGTAAATAAGCCAGCCTTCCATATAAATGCTTGAATAAAACAATCCCACAAATCCTCTAATTTTACAATGTTTCATATATTAGCCTACATGTGGCTACTTAAATTTAAAACTAAATTGATTAAGAGATCCAGGACAGGCACCAAAACTACACAGGGAAACCCTGTCTTGAAACCCTCCCCACCCCACCCCCAAAAAAAAACCACTAAATTGATTAAATTTAAATAAAGTGGGGTTGGAGATGGCTCTGCAGTTAAGGGCACTGGCTGCTCTTCCAGGGGACCTAGGTTGGATTCCCAGCACCAACGGCAGCTCACAACCATCTGAAACTCCAGTTTCAGAGGATCTAACTCCCTCTTCTGACCTCCACAGGCACCAGGCATGCATGTGGTTCACAGATGACACACACACTAAAATGAAACACATTCATAAATAAACAAAATTAAATATAACACAAAACTTAGTAGTTGTTGTTGTTTTTTCTCCCACAGTGCAATTTTGACATTCCCTGTGCTCAACAGCAACCAGAAGCTAGTCACTGCTGGAGTGGGCAGCACAGACAGGGACGTTCCCAGCCTTGTGATAACATCTGCTGGACAGTGTTCCTCTTCTAAATTGTTTCAAAACATGAGCCAGCTTAAGAAATATTGTACTGTTCAACAGAAACATAGTAGCAGTCACATAAAGATTTTTGAATTTTTAGTAGCCACATTTTAAGAAAAATAGGTAAAAGTAGTTGATCTTATCTAACCTAGTATATCCAAAATACTACCATCTCACTTAATACCCAACATAAACAATTCAGTACTGCGATTTCACACTGCTGTACTTTCCCCAGTCTTTGAGATCTGATTGTTTTGTGCGTGCAAATCTCGTCTTAATTTGCATTAGACATTTCAAAGACTCAGTTGGCAGGCTGAGGCTGGTGGCTGCCTTAGTGGGCATTCTGAATCACTAATGAGCAAGTAAGAAAACAGGTGTGGGTGGGGGGGTTGGAACTCAATGGCAGAGCAAGGCAAAGGGGGACAGGAAGTGCAGAACATGTGGATCCCTACTGTGATGACTTAAGAACACAGAAGACTGATTCCTGAGTCCCAAACGGGTGCTCTACCACTAAGATGAACTTAGCCAAACACACACTATTTCTTGGGGTGTCTGTTTTAAACCAAGGCAAGTGAGGTGGAATATATCCATATACCTAACACTAAGGAGGTGGATCACTAGATCAAGGCCAGCCCAGGCAACACAATAAGACTCTGAATCAAAAAAGAAAAAATAAGGGGAGGGGGCTTAAAAACCATAACGATCTTAAGAACATGAGGCTGGAATCCATACTGCTTGGGTCTCGCAGATACTGACAGGTACCCGACTGGGACACTGCTGAGCCCCAGCCAGCAGACTCCCTGTATCACATCTCACCTGGGAAGTGAGTTGACAGCAGAAGGCCCCCCCCCCCCCCCCACCCACCGTGTTCTCCACCCTGTCCCTTGCTTCCTGCCAGGAACCAAAACGCATCCCGAAAAGTGTAAGATGTCGCAGGAGACAGGCTCAGTGGCTGCGGTGCTGGCTGTTCTTCCAGAAGACCAGGCTTCGAGTCCCAGCACCTGACCCACATGGTGGCTAACCAGTCTCTAACTCCAGTTCCAGAGGGGTCACCGTCCTCCTCCCCCCCGGCCTCCACAGGCACTGCACAAACACACGTGCAGACAAAAACGTCCACACACATAAACAACACTAAACCTAAAAAAATAAAGTCCAAGTGCCTCCCTCCTTCACCGTGTGAGAGAGACTCTCAGATGCTGGGGCCTGAACTCCCTTGGAGGACTCCACCCTGTCTGTCTGTCCACGGTGTTAATGACCTCTCAAATAAACTCCTTATTCCCCAGTAATCCCTCTCAGTGTCTTCTTGAACTGTCCACCCCAATCTAAGACCTAACAAAAGGGGCCAAACTACTTATTTTGTGTGGAAATGCCTTAAAATACAAGACAGTAAAATTTACCCAGTTCATTTTTTCCACTCAAAAACTATTTTTAAATGCTGTGTTCGTTTAAAGGTAAGACAAAAACATCAATTTAAAAGCACTTTAGCTCTTCATTTAGTCCTTATAGTAAGAACAAAACAAACACAGAAGGCCTGCTGTGGTGCCTCTAATTACAGCACTCTGGAGTGGAGACTTCAACGCCAGCCTCAGCTACATTATCAAGTTGGGGGGCCAACCTAAGATTCAAACACCATGATGGGGTGGAGAGATGGCTCAGCAGATAAGGGCCCTGTGTGCTGGTCCACAGGACCTGAGTCTCATTCCAGCTCCCACATGGTGGCTTGCACTGTAGCTTGAGTTTTCCTGCCTGGCCCACAGTCAGGGCAAATCTCAAGCTACAAATGGCGTCCAACGTGGTGGCAAGAGTTTCCACCTAAAACCTGAGAAAAGATTCTAAAATGGAGCTAAAAACAGTTCCTAATTGTCTCTCTCAAATGAGCGGCAGCTGCCGGTTTGAGCTACTGGCAGGTTCCTAGTGTGTGTGCTCGACCTGCAGTATGGCGGGAATGAGGCCTCTGCAAGTGGCACATTAAGCTGCGTGGTGGATTTAGCCTTTGCTAGTACAAAACAAAAAAAGAGTATTTTGGGCTACACACTGCTTGGATAAAAGCATAGACCCACGATAGCTCCCAGAGCTGGCGGTAAATGTAGCCATGTTGGAAAGCTGAGGTGGGCGGAGCCAGCAGCCACAGCTGCTGCAGTTTAAAGCAATAGCTTCACAATAAGACAGATTCAGATGTAATAGTTTACAATGTGTGTAAAATATACGTAGGCTTGAAAGAGACAAAAAAAAGATGATATATACAGTTATATAAACAAATACATAGTTTTAAAAAATAAAGTTTTTAAAGACAGTAAAATTAATATAAAAAAATAAGCCACGTAAAGATGAATATTACACAGAGAATCTGGATTGTGTTGTCTTTGGGATTTTTTTTTTTTTTTTTTTGGTTTTTCGAGACAGGGTTTCTCTGTGTAGCTTTGCGCCTTTCCTGGAACTCGCTTTGGAGACCAGGCTGGCCTCGAACTCACAGAGATCCGCCTGGCTCTGCCTCCCGAGTGCTGGGATTAAAGGCGTGCGCCACCACCGCCCGGCCTGTCTTTGGGATTTTTAACTGCAGAAAAACATTTAATTGTAAAAGCTGTTGAGTTATGCCAAAATGTATATTTTAAAGATACCTTGACTTCAAAATTTGGATCTAAGGATGTGTTGCCTTGGAAAGGAGGCTCTGCTTTTGTTCCCACAGAAGGCCAGAGGCTATGGATTTGTTCCAGATTAAGATCACATCAGGTTTGACCAGCCAAGACCCCCTGAAAGGTCTCCGATGACACCATGGCCCAGATGATCCAACATCCAGAATGGTTTGAAGGCAACTGGCTCAGACGATACAGCCTCATGGACTATTCCATAATCCTAAAATTTTCTTTGTATCCCCATAAGATACAGCGCCCCCCTCCAGCAGGAAGTAGTAAGAGAAGCTACGCCCAAATTCCCAAATTATATGTAATTTTACTTTGTCAAGGTTAAAACCTTCCTTTTTGAAAAAAACAGGGGGGGAAAGTGCTGTGGGATGGTCTGTATGGCAAATGTGTTGCTCTGATTGGTCAATAAATAAAACACTGATTGGCCATTGGCTAGGCAGGAAGTATAGGCGGGACAAGGAGGAGAATAACGCTGGGAAGTGGAAGGCTGAGTCAGAGAGACACTGCCAGCCGCCACGATGACAAACAGCATGTGAAGATGCCGGTAAGCCACGAGCCATGTGGCAAGGTATAGATTAATGGAAATGGATTAATTTAAGCTGTAAGAACAGTTAGCAAGAAGCCTGCCACGGCCATACAGTTTGTAACCAATGTAAATCTCTGTGTTTACTTAGTTGGGTCTGACGGCTGTGGGACTGGCAGGTGAGAGAGATTTGTCCTGTGGGCCAGGCAGGAAAACTCAAGCTACATTGCACTGTCTGTAGCTCCAGGTCCAGAGGATCTGAGGCCATCTTCTGGCCTCTACTGGCACGGGGGTGGGGGTGGGGGCCCAAATAGTGCAGAGACATACAGACAAAACACTCATACACATAAAATAACAATAAAAATAAGAGTAAACAGAAAACCAAGAGAGAGGTGCTCC